GGCAGCAATAGCGCTGTGGGGGAGTCTTTGTAATGGTGGTGTTTTTTTTTAAATCGAAATACTAAGGAACTCGAAAGACTATGCAAATTATTTTCTGCTTTTAAACTTTTGAATTTATAAAAATTTTACATCGTAATTCGGTAAAGGTTTTGTTATATGATATTTCTCTACTTACACATATTTTAAAAGGTAATTTACTTCCACGAAATGGCTCAGTTGCGGATAGATGATGCGTCATCAGTTTTACAAGAAGTCACTACTTACGTGCCAAAATTCATGCTTTACCTAATTTTAACTTCTTACATACGTAATACATTCGAATAATTTGAATTCTGATGAAAAATCTTGTGGCATACAAATTCACTGCCAGTCGGTGATACTACAATCGTCTTGTTTTACTTTGCATAAAACGGAGGACAATTCTTGCCTTTAATATACAAAAAATAGTATACTCTCTTAATATACAAATATTTTTAAACACTCCAGGTTGTGTGAAAGAAATAACCGTACTTAAACCGATTTTTGAACAAAATAAATAAGTTAATATGTAAGTTTATTAAGCTCCAACCACATATATATGTAAACGTACATTTCGTCATCTTAAATGCAAAAAGCCAAAAAACACCGTCACGTCATAAAGGGGCGTGGATACTTCTAATTCGGTGAAATGCATCATGATCAATCAAAAAGTGAATTGGACTTTTTGTTAGTTATGGCGTTGGCATTTCAGGTGACGATATGTACATATTCGTGAGTGTTAAAAGCTTTACGTTTTTATAAATTTAATTAAAATCCAATTTTGCTTACAAAACTCGAAAGTACTCGAAAAGAACAATGAAAAACTAATGCTCGGTTGCACCAATCAATTTTGAATTTATCAACCTGTTAAATTTTAAAATGACACAATTTTGTTCGAAAAAATACGCCTTGGTCTCATACATTTTAAAATTGTTTGGTGGAACTGGGGATAAGAAAATTAATATAAACACGTTCTCGAATCATCACAAATGCAATCTTTTCTCATTGGCCAAATGATTATTCGCCAGCAATGTTTAGCAAATAATATTCGTTTATATAAGTAGAATTTTATACAATTATGAACATAGCAATTAATTCCCTCTTTTCGGTAAGGTTTTATATGTAGATAATAAGGAGAATACACAAAATATCACACCCAAAAATAAAAGGCTCAAATGACATTGCCAGTTGGTTAAGCACTTTTTATACAACTTGCATTTTTACCATATAACTACTATGTATTATACAATTTAAAAAATATACCATTCATAGCGTACTTATAGCGTGTATTTTAATTATAATGACGCATGTATGTTTGCAAAATGTATATTTTTATAGCATTTTATGTAAACACTTTTATATAAATAAATATACGATTTACCGTAATATCTTCTTTACTATAGAAAGCGCTTTTATTGTTTCAATTTACTATGTTGTTGTTGTAGCAGCATACAAGTTCCCCATAGAGTTTTTGAGAGTGTTGCTGGAGTGACAGTCCTTGGCCAGATATAAATCTGTTACGGTTCCGGTTACGTAGACCCGACTGTCGTGGAACCGTTCAATTTACTATGTTGTTGTAGATGCTACTCAACCTTGCCTAGATCGGCCTATCCCTCAATCGTTGTCGTCAAGCTCAACTCCTACTGGGTATGCCTATAGGGACAGAGGTATTAACTGAGTGGGGTGTACTATTTCACGCTTTCCTTGCAAACACTTTTGTTTTATCGAAAAATACCAACAATTATTACATTGAGGTAGTGGCTTTTCAAATGCCTTCATTATTGCGAAAAAATCTGGCTCAGAATTTAACGACCTTAACCTGACTTGTAAAAGCAACTTCTAAAGAAAAATAACATCATGAAATGTCTAATTAGTTTGTATTTTAGTTCTTTATTCATTTACATATATGTACATTGAGCACACAAATTCGAAGTAGAAAAAAATATTAATTAACAATCAGATATATCAGCTTAATAAGTTCTATGGATACTCTAAAAAATATATGTATTTAATTTAGTGTTAAAATTATTCTGAGGACTTTTAAATACAATAAAAAACTAATTTAAAATCGTATGGAACCTGATTTAAGGTTACGTTGTATAGAATGTTAGGTGGCATGTAACAGGCGAGTACTACAATCACATGTTACATTTGTACAGGCTATTTCCATACGCGTAATATATGTAGGTAAATGCAATGGCATATTTATAGGGACCCATTCATATGTGACAACTCAAAACACTGTCACATACAAATATAAAATTAAGTAAAATATTTAATATAGAAGAGAAGGTTTTTAACATGAACTGAAGTTTGTTGATTTTGGTGGTTTCATTTTTGGTTCCGCCTGCCATTTTTTTCTCGATACCACTCATATAATGCTCATAGTCTTTGTGTACATTACCATAATGCTATATTTGGTTTTATGGCTTAATTATTTTAAAGTTCGTCCTTAACATCATCTAAATCGACATCCGACAAGTCAATTTCCTCCTCAGCTGGCGGTTGACCATCCTTACCATCCCAGGGCTTCACAGTGTTAATAGCTGGTTTCTTGGCACCACGTACGGGTGCAGTATGTCCGCGTCCATAGGAAATGTCGCGTAAGAATTCGTTAATGCCATCCTTCGAGAAAGAGCCCTTGAGTACGGAGAATTTCATTTTCTTGAAATTAACCACAGCCATTGCTGGATAACCGAAACCACCAATTTCCAAAGATTCTTCTAGGTTACTCTGAGCGCCACCCTCAGCCCAGCCCCAACCCCACAACTTCTGTTTGTACTTTTCGCCCAATTCGCGGAGTGTGACTAGGAATTTATTGCGGCACTTAGCATCACAATCAAGTATATGTGGCAGTACTGAGACAACGCAGAGCGGTTTTCCTTCGCATGCTTTGTCGAACGTGTCTTCATCTACAATCTCCAACAACTCGGGTGCGGGTACGCTGTCAGTGTGTTTATCAAGCGCCCAGCTAACAATGTCAGATGCAGTGCGGCCACCATCATATTCCGTAGCATCACTACTACTCTTAGAGCCGGCAGGAATGAATTTAATGGTGGGATAACCGCGAATGCCATATTCCTGTGTGGTTATGGAGAAAAGCGTTTAGTTTAGGGAAAATTGATGCTTATAAATATTAGTCAACTAATTTAAATTTAGATTCATTAAACCTACCGATGCTTTGCTCTGATGCACTGTAGCATCCAATGCACCCAACTTCACTTTCCCCTTAAGTTCCCTGGCGGCTTTAGCCCATTCAGGTGCCAAGTTCTTGCAATGACCACACCATGGTGCAAAGAATTCAACCAACCAAATATCATCTGAATTCAAAACCAGTTTGTCGAAATTGTCATCAGTCAGTTCAATGACAGCATCAGCACCGCTGCCACTGCCGCTGTTACTGCTGCCGCCGCCCCCGCCCAGCACTTCTTGTACCTTCTTTTTGGCTTCGGCCAGTGCCGCCTCCGCAATAGCTTTAGCTGTGCGTTGACCATTGTAGCTGGTAGGCGAACGCTTGTTTGTGCCGAATATTTTGATGGTGGGGAAACCTTGTACACCATATTGGCCGCCAAGTGAACGATGTTCATCAGCATTGACAGAACCAACTTTAACAACACCTTTCAGCGCTTTAGCGGCTTTCTTGTATTCTGGTACCAGCGATTTGCAATGACCACACCATGGTGCAAAGAATTCAACAACCCAAATAGCATCATCCTGTGTGACAAGGCGATCAAAGTTGGAGGGCGTCAATTCTACCACGTCATCGCTTGGCGAATATAAGGCAGAAGCCGGCTTCGGTGCCGTGGCCGCTGCGGCAAGCAAGAAAATTGCTGCAGAGATAAGGGCATGGTTTATTAAATAAATAGTGTTTTACGTATTATGAAGAAACTTTGATTGTAATGAGAAATTTTAAGTCGAGAGTAAAATTAAGTGACTAAATACATAGCAACACTTTGGTACTTACCTACAAAAAATTTAAACTTGTCCATTTCAGAGTTGGCAATAGAAGCTTCTTCCCGCACGTTTGTTTTATAAGTTTTGTAATATCTCAATTAGATCACGGAAGACTTTGTGTTCAATCAATTATGCATGTATAATTAATTTTCTTTGAGTAAAGACATTTTTTTTTTCAATTTCACTAGACCAAAATTATTTTCGCAGCTTTTTCTACTTTTCCAATCCAAATCAGTCAGCTCTTTCTTAAATACTGCGTTCGCTCTTAATATCTTCTCTTCATTATATCTGTCTATTTCTGATTGGCTAATTTTTAGTACTTCTTCACCAGCATTGCCATGTTAACAGTAACTAGAGATGAGCGATACGGTTATTTTTCGTTTTCAGTGAACTCAGTCACTGCGATTTTTTAATCACCATAAACTTTTAGTGCGGATAGAACTTTGGCCTTCAGAGGTAAGTGGTAGAAGTGGTGAAATAGGGAAAACTTTCCAAATATTAGGGAGTATAAGACCCCAATTTTCAATCAAATTCTGAAGTAGGGCGTTCTTGAAAAGTTTTCTGAGAAAGATCGATGTTAAAAAATTTTACGAGATAGGGCGTTTTCGAACTCAGCCATCGATATAAAGTTCATAAAGTTAATATTTTTCATGAAAATAATTGTGAATATCATATTAGGTATACTATAAGTAGATTATCCTCATTTTCGAGCGTAACTCCCTAATTTGTAATTAGAAAAAGGGATAAGCCATACAAAATTCGTGCCTCCTTTATCTGTAACTATAAAGGTCGGTGTTATGCAGACAAACTTTTGTTTGCCAAATTAAATGGCGTCTGCTTAGTTTGCTCGGAGGTGGTTATGTCGAGTTTGGCACAGGGTTGCACGTTCATTGTGGTTTTCATGGCTATTGCCAACACGAAATAAGAATTCCAGATGTACTTAACGCGCTCAATTTAAAATTTTTGTATATGACAACACCGAATTTGCTGCAGTTTGACCAAACAAAATTAGTTTGCTGTGAGAGTCGCCAAACTCGCTCTCTCCGAGTTTGCTGCAACAACAATTGCACGCAGTTTGCCAAACAAAATTTCTGCATAACACCAACCAAAGTAATCTCAGGTTAAACCGATAACTTTTCGGTGCTAAACCAAGTTTGATCGATTATTTTTGCGGAGAGATGCCAAATGTAAATGTAAACAAAAATGGACGATGGTAAGGAAAAGAGGTTTGTAAAGGTATATTTAATAAAATATTAAGTCAAAATATATTTAAATTGCTTAATATAGCAGAAAAGTTGATTCACAGAGAAAAAACTTAACTTTTCCTAAAGATGTGAGAATAATAAGCATAACAAAATTGAAGGCTAATAATCTGATACTTGTTTGTGTAAACGGGATGATTAAAACCCGAGCTTCGATTGAGATTATATTTATGTGCAAACATAATTTTATATTAGAATAAGGTGTACATTAACACCTGACACTGCCTCTATATGCACGAATGCAAACAGATATGTACAGAAAATTAATTTTTCTTACACGAATTGAAAATATTGCAATTTTTGTTAACGTTTAATATTATAAAAAATTACGTAAGTTTATTTTGATGGACGGAAAAAATTGTACATTTTATTTTATTTTGGGTCTTTTTACTTGGAAACTGTGGTACACAAAATTTTGGTGAAGTGACAACTGTGTGCGTACCGATTATTAACGAATCGAAACGAATCAAGCGTCGAAGAAATGGTGAAATTCGGTAGATGCGAATCATTAACTAGAAGTGGTGAAATTCGATAGATGCGTTACCGGTTATTGCCTTGTAAAGGAACTACCGTAGTGGTAGTAAAACTGGTACCTAACAGCAGTTGCGGTACCAGTGTGAATTTACCAGCGATATTTGCTAAAGGTACTTGTCTGCTCTAATTACATACAGTGGTAATCAAACTGATTCTGGCTGGTTACAGTCTAAGGCAAATCGATAGGACAACAATACAGATATAATTTGCTTATTTAATAGCTGCGACTGTAGAATCTACACTGCAGATAGATTGGACTTGTATGTATTGTGATGTAAAACTTTACGTCCTACATTTTAAGACCACCCTAATGTACATATGTAGCTAATTTGTCCAGATCCCTAACTTATGCAGATGGCTTATTATTCTGTAGGGGTGCCTGTAATAATGCTTGGTTTCTCGTTAAGGATACTAATTATGTATAAGTCTTTAGGGTGTTTCTCTCAAAAGATTTTTATTTGGCGAATGTCTATGCTACTCCGTCAGTGTAGAGCTCTCATTCCTATTACTTTTTTCTCGAGCTCTTCGTGTCTTAATTTACTACAAGAAAAAGCTGAGACCTTGCGGCGGTTGACAGCGCTGTGTTTGTAGTAAAGCCGTCCGCTACCGTGTTTCCCTCTATTCCCTTTTGTCCAGATATCTTTGAGATAAGCAAGGGCTTGGAAATTTCAAATTGCCTAGTCCTAGGTTCAAACATGTTTCCTTCCTTCCGTAATTCACGTACTCCATTACGTACTATATTATCCTTTAAAAAACCACAACCTTGTTCATATTATCACTGGGTAAATGGACCAGCTTTCCCATGTTCCTGTTGCGCTGGCAGAACTGCATATGTAACTGAAAAAAATTTGCCAGCGCTGGGCAAGCCTGTCTCATGTGGTAAGAACTTTCCTCTTCCAAAGTCTTCTCTTGCGAAGTTTAAGAGAGTACGCCTTAAAGGCTTGCTCTTTGGATGTAGTGGCTGAAGCTCGAGAACTACCTCCAGCGCTGTCATCGAACATGCATGTACGAATTGGCTCCCATTATGTAGTTCTCGAAACCCAAATCACCGCCACATATGTAGGTCACCATAGTTGTGGATCCACGTTAGGACCATTGAGCTAGACTTGCAAGTAGGAGAGGTGACAGTGCACCTCCTGCGGGCATACGTTTCTTGTTTAAAATTTTAGTTTTAGTAATTCATTCTTGTCTACAGCAGTTTAGCTCTTCATATCCACATAACTGGTTCCACCACACGATCGAACCATAGAAGCAATATGGACGGAAAGCAGGGCAAGCGTTCTCGCCTTAAGGCTCGTCTGGTCCAAGCACGGTCCCCTACCATAACCTCGGCTCGTGCCCACGTCTGGTCCGAACCATAAGCCAAAGTAATTTCCGATTTACTTACACTTGAGCTTTTACTTTTATTATATACGATTTTAATTAGAAAATGATGAGTGATTCCCTCTTATCGAATTATGCGCAAATAATTGCTTTCTTTAGTAGTTATGTAAGTACGCCTCAGCTAAAAAAAAACCTGCCAAATTATTTACTACGAATGAACCAAAAATGAATAGGGCAATACATAGGGTTGTAACATGATTCAATAATACAAGGTTAGATAATTATTGACAGCTGCGGTTTGACACTCCCTTACAAAAGGTTGCATTTACGGAGGACAGAGAAAGGGCAAGAATGCAATCCCTTGTTTCGAAAATGGTAGTAGAAAAGTACGCAAAGTAGGCAATTAGTAGTGAAATTCCTTTCGTAAATTCTAATGTATTTGCAGGAAATCTGGCATTTTAAACGAAATGTTGAACGTAATATTGATATATCTACGTGAATTACGTAATTTATATGCTATTTAGCCGTATAAAAACTGCAAAATGACTCAAAATTTAAATAAGACTACTATGAGACTGATGTAAACATCCAATGCATATGTTTTCATCAGTTAAATATGCTTCATATGCATATACAAATAAAGATATTGCACAAAAGCTTATACTTTTATTTCACACCAAAGCTACACTGTTTCCATGTAAATTTCCAAAGAAGCAACACTGTGCCACTGCTAAGGGAGCGGTGCGAGAGAGACAACTGTCAGTTTATCGAACCTTGTATTATTGAATCATGGGGTTGTAAGATAAATGCCCAGCTGATATTCGCACATCCACACACATTTTTGCAATTGAAACCCACACGCACTCGCATGCAGTGGCTAATAAAAGATATAATTTTTTTTTTCTTGCGGACAATTACTACGGTCTCTTTGTTGCGCAATTTATTTACTCTGTTAAGTCGATGAGAAAACATAAATCAAAATTAAAACAGTTAAAGCAGCAGCTCACACGTACGGTCAGTTGTTATCCTTAATCTGGAGCTGTACGAGTATAAGTCGGGTGTTTCTCTCGGCAGGACTTATTCTTTTTGGTTGGTAGTGGTGGGCGAATGTGGGGGAATGTGAAGTTGGAAAATGTTATTCGCCTGCCTTGGTTGCTCAAGCCAGAGTAAGTGGAATAGGGCGTAGCGCAACAGCTGAATTTGCAACCAAATTGTACGCATTATCCTTGTAGGACAGACTGTGTGTTTGTATGTGGTGATGGTTTTATTTAAGTTTTTTGGTTATAAGTAGCTGAAATTAAATTTAAGGAAGAAATTAGCATTTTATTTTTAGTTAAAACTCTGATTAATAAATGCACATTGTCATTGGCCGGCACATTCTTCCAAATATTGGGACCAGTCGTTTGAACGGCTTCTACATTCACATAGATTTGCCGTTGTGTGATCAAATGCATTTTACCGAATAGGTAGAAGTCGAAGGGCATCAAATTAGGCGAGTACGCTGAATGGTTTACGCTTAAGCAGGGATCACATGACATGATACAGATTTGTACATTTTCACAGTTACAGAGTAGAGTGGTTTGGAAATACGTAATTAAGTTGAAGTCTTTATTTCTATACAACAGCACTCCGTGACTGGCAAAATGTATAAATCTGTACATATGGTGAAATCGTGTCCTTCCCTGCTTTAGAATGCAAGTTTTTAGCCAAAAACTCAGTCAAAGGATTCAATCGACGAGACGCCGCATTGCACGCAAACAGAGATTGGGAAACTACCAAAAAGGATAATAAATGGAGGGACCTACAGTTTTACGCCACCTGCGAGCAGCAAGTGGATTTAATGAGAAGCTGTTTTCCATGGCAGAAATGCACTTGCCATTGTCCGTCGAGAGTCGACCACTGTTAAGACAATGCCACACGATTGAACATATGTGGGGAATATTATAGGCCCAGCACTGGAGCTTGGTAGCAGATGAACTCCAGCAAATGGTAGCAGACAATGGAAAGGTGACAGGTAATAAGACAGGTAATAAGATCAACGGAAATAAGGTCAATTGACTTTATTTCCCACCATGGTGCGAAATAAAGTCAATTGACATTATTACCTTTTTAAAGCGAAATAAAACGCATTGACATTATAGCT